AATAATTATAATAAAAAATATAATTCTTTTCTGCATAAATTATATACTTTGTATGTGTACAAAAGAACATACATTAAAATAAAAATTGCTTCTTATCACTATTGTAATGATTCATGCATTCACCCGTAAAAAATGCACTATCAAATTTTAGCAAATTTTTCTAACATTTTTCAATAATGATAACTCAGTAAAAAATTATTGTAATGAGTAATAGTTCAAATTAAAGTTTAAACATTTTCCTTGTTAGCAAAAATAATCAAAATTGTATTACAAAAAATGTTTTACAAAATGAGGAATGTTAAAGGTTTTAAAAGTAAAAAAAATTTCTTTTAACTATTGTTTTGTTCAGAAAAATCGGCTTCCAGATAATAAAAATGATAATAAAAATGTGATAAGAAATTCTTAAATTCATCCATTTCAAAACCATATTTTAAACATTTTTCTAACAATTTTATAAAATAATTAGATATAACATAAAATTTTCAAAAAAATTTTTATTTGTGTAAAAATTGTTTAACTTGAAAATAAATTATTGTAGAAAGCTTTATCAAAAGGAAAATTAAAGAGTAAACTTTGAATTTTAAGTGTAAACTCAAAATTTTTTAATTGTTTGAGATGTAGTCTCTAAAAGTGAATCAATGACTTCAGTGTAACTTATGTAATTATCTGTAAATATTTATTATTTTTCAGTAAATATTCACTGATTCACTTTTAGAAAGTAAAATACTTATTGCAGTTAGGAAAAAGATTTTTGTTTCTTTCCTAATAATATTGAATCAACGATCATTGATTTCATTAAATATAATAGAGAATAATTCTAAATAATTTATGCAATTTATATAATTAACCTGTCGGTTCATAATGGCATTTTCCTTTGTACACAATTAATATCACTTCAGTTTAAAATTCTCTATATTTATTTTTTCTTTCTTTGTAATATAATAAAATGTAAATTGTTCAATTTTGAGAAGAAACAGTTTTAAGAAAAAAGTGAATAACTCTTTGAAAAATTATTATAATGTTTTCAAAAAGAATAAATAAAGTATTAAAAATAGAAATATGTTCTTCAAGGATGTAAATTTACTTTATACGTACAATAAATAAAACTGCTATGTGTCATCTATTAAAAAATATTTTCTATCTCCTATGTATTTCAAAATGACAGCTGATTAATTTCAGCAACTTCTTATGGAACATCCTGTACAATACAAAGCCATATAATAGAACGATTACGCGCAAATTATTCAAATTACTCTTTTTCTATTTTTTTTTTGACTTCTGTGGTGTAAATCCTCATGTAAATACTAGACTTACCCTATAATTTTCTGGTTGTTTAGATTAAATGTTCCTCACTTATATATTTTCCTACATTATGCTTATCGTTAGTAATAATATAATTAGTATGTACTTAACGTAAGAAAAGATATAATTAGTATGGTAGCAATAGTATATAGTATATATAGTTCTTACAGCAATAATATACAGTGAATACAGTTCCTTTCTTGTTGTGTCTTTATGCTAGCAATCTTC